CTCGGGGCCCCTGCTGCGCGAGGACGGGCCGAGGGCACCGCAAGGCCTGACGGCAGGATGGGAGCACGGCGTAACCCACGGCTCGGGAGAGGAATGCTAGCAGAAAATCTGCAGCACGCAGGCTTTCTTTTTTTTTTGTCTGAGATTATTGCAACAATAACATGAACCCAACCTAATGGTGCCTGTGCTATATATTACAAGTAGCTCTTTATGGTTCTTTCCCCTCCTCTTCTCAAACATCCTGATTAGGCCTATTTCCGAAGCTTGTTTGAACAGCCTGTCACTATTTGTTTAAGTTTCAAACCTGTTTTAAATAAACACATGTCCATTTTATGTACTAAAACAAGAAGAAGGGGGAGGGAAGCATGACCCATTACTGAAAACTATTTTAACACAAAGAGAACCCTAAACAGAAATCTTGACTGTTCCATAAGGTTTGTCTCCTCCTGCAAGCCCACATATTTGTCACTGCGTTTCTGTCACCAAAAGCAGTTCTGTTTAAATAAGAGAATCTGGGCTAAAACAAATAAGATTAGCCAAATTGCTTGAAACATCTGAAATCCCCTGAAAAGTATCTGTTATAATGAAAGCAATGGTCTTCACAGCATGGTCTAGGCATATGGCTTGAGAAAAGTTCTCAAGGGTATGTGTATCCCTTCTGGACTTGTTAACATAGTTGGAGGTAAAACAGGGATAGGCTTCTACTTTAACACTGATCTATTGAAAATTTAATGCAATGTTATATCCTGGATGTAAAACTATATCAGGACAGTCATAAATTATGTGGGAAAGAACTCTTCATTCAACTCTAATTTTTTAATAGTTTAATAGTTAATAGTGCTAATTTTTTAATAGTTTAATTTTCCTTTTTTAAAAAAACCAATTTCCATGGATGCTTATATTAAGCCAATTCAGTCTGTTGCTGTTTCGGTCTCTAAAGTGGATACTTGTGTAAAGCATAAAGCACAAAGAAAGATAACAGCAGGGAAGGGAAAGATGCTCTGGCTAAGCTCCCCTTAGCAGTAAGGAGCGCAGCTGCCTGCATTACCTACATGGGCTTGCTTGGCAGGCCGGGAGGGAGGCCTCCGGAGCATCCCTAGCTGCTCCTCTCGCCTGCTGGACTACAGGCAGCGGTGGCTGTACTTTAGCCATGTGGTATGCAGTACGCAATGCAGTATTACTGACTGGCGCTACTTGGATTTCCAAGGATCCAAGCCAGGGCGAAAGGGGAGGTGGTCTCTGCGTGAGGATTTGGAGGTACAACAGCGCACTGAGCCAGGCTGTTTGGGAAACAAACTGCTCCTCTCTGGCCTAAATCTGGCAGCTCTTGTCTGAAGAAATTAAAAAAAAAAAAGAAGCCATCTTTAACTATGTGAACCTTAGGGATCGAGCCAAGCTTATTTAGTCTCGGTACTTTTGCAACTCAGTCTTCATCCCCGCTTGAGAGGCAGGGCGTAACTTCCAGGCTGCGGCGGACTAAATGCTTCCCATATGCCGAGCCCAGCGACGCGTTCACAACACGAACGCTCCGCATTGCAAACGCAGAGGGGAAAACCAGCCGCCGCGCGGTACTCTGCATTTATTACTGTGGGGGTGGTGGGCAGAGCAAACATGAGGAAGCAAGGACTTCCTTTTTCTACCTGAATCAAACAGCTGGTGAGGAAGTGACTTTATTTCCCTCGTTATCATTGGTTTGACAGGATATCCTCTTGAGCCACATTGTACTGAATGAAGAGCCTGCGCGACTTCCATTTTGCCGAGCGGGAATTGCCTCGCGGCAACTTCGCGCTGCCCTCTCGGTGACTCCAAAGCAAACAAGCAAACAGCAGCGCGAGGCTTTTGAAGAAACTCGCACGGGTCCCAGTGACACGGCCTCCCCATCTGCCACGCCGGGGGGATGATGCCGGCGCCCGTGCCAAGATTTTGCAGCTGAGCGGCTTCTCACTCACCCCTGCCTCAATATCAGCAGCGTAAATTCTCATAAAAGCTCTCTTTCCTGAGTATTAACTCATTTCAGAGGCAGTCTGGGGAGGCAGAGAGCTGGTTAAATTGTCCCATATTTTCTATGCTGTGAAACCTCATTAAAACGTCATCTTGCAGCTAAGGAGGAAAGTTCCCAGAATAAAAAAAAAAAAAAAAAAGATCGGTCTGTAGCTGTTCTTTTCCTGAAAAGTTTATGGGTCCTTTATGCAAACTGGAGCACATGCAAATACGGGTAGCTCGGACCCTGACTGACCGCACTGTGCCGAGCTGTGGCCTTTCACAGGTCGATATCGCTAGAGAGGCCGGTATCTTTTAACGCCTGGCAGCACTGCTGAGCTGGCCATGGAGTCAGGTGCAATTTATCCCATTTCCATGCGGAGGAAGTGAATGTGTCAGCGCCCCCCAGGCGCTGCTGCCCAGTGCCGGGGAGCCCGCCTGCCTCCCGGGCAAGGCGCTGCCCGACACGCCGCAGCGCCAGGGCAGAGGGCTTCATGTCGTCACCTTTGCCTGTGGCAGCAATTCTGCATTTTCACAATGTGCTAATCCCAGGTCTGCAGCTGATACACTAACTCCTGGCTGCACACACGTTTGTTCCTCCAGTGCAATGTAAGGTTTCTGACTTTGGACAGAATTGCAGCTCATCAAAGTGGTCTTACCTAACTTCTTTTTCTCTTGTCCTTGCTATAAATTTGTTTAAGTACTTGCACTTGTGAGCCTGTGATCCTGGGAGCATATTTTGCAAGTCCTATTCCGATCAGGCTCTCATTAAAATCTGTGTGATCTGAAATCAATGGGAATATTGTCTGCCTAAGGCTGACTAACTGTGGCACTCAGAGGGAGGCGTCCAAGAAGCAGGCACTAAACACGGTTAGATTTATTCATGAAAACTGATGCATATGCTTAGAAATATATAAATCTTTGTGGTTGTAGTAGCAAGCACGATAATTTCTGCTCACTCTGCTGGAGACCTGAATCTGTTGGCAGAGAGCTCTCTTCCAGAGCTCGGCGGGTCATGAAGAATAAACCTGGACTGTGGAGAATGATCAAGCCGGTCTCCTTAAACACACGATGCGTAAGGTATTGATCACTCAGCCTGCTTGGAAATCCATGCAGTGTTCAGGGTAGGCTGCATTCTTGTAAAACCAAGTCAGCATGAGAAATGTTTCAGCAATTTACTCTTGGCGTCTCCAGTTAATTCAGTTAGACGTGGCTCTGCAATATGCA